TGCCCTTCGAGTTTGCTCAAATTACAATGCTCAAGTGTCAACATCTTATGCCTTCTTGAGCTAATTTTCATTCTTAAAATAAATCCAATTGAAATTGAATTTCAAAGTCAAAATCCTCTCCATTCATGGCTTGATAAGTGGCACCAAAATTCCTTCCATTTATAGCTTGACAAGTGGCACATTTCTAACTAAGTAAAAGACAAAAGTGCACTTTATTGGTTCTTTTTCTCAATTCTGTCTCTTGGAGGACTAAAATATTTGTCACGTCACTTTTGTCTTATCCTATTACCTCTTCTTTCCTCTTCAATGCCTTCACATGGTATCATAATTATCCCACATGGTGCACTAATGAGCCATAATTACTTTTATCTTTTTCTTAGATATTTTTCTCTATTTACTTAGCTCTCACTTATGGGGATTTTTTCCTGGCTTTTTGGACCTCTAAAAATTATTTTGTCTACTTCAAAAATTCCTTTTACCTTTAGAGAAAAGCTATTAATTTTCTCAAGCCATGACTTATCGTGTAAGCCTCACTTAAAAATCATTCTTTAAAATGCCCTTTTATTGACATAATTGGCTTTATATTTTATTAAAGCCATTCCACCGGCCTTCTGGGAGTACGTCTAATTTTATGAATTAGTGCAAGCTTTTAAATATTTAACCTCATTTTTATGTACATTTTTTTAAGTCTCTTGCTATATCAAATAATTACCTCAAACAGTATACTTTTTACCAGCCATAATCTTATAAATTCCATTTAAGTTACCTCAGGGGTACTTTCATCATTTCTCTTCACGAAAGAGTCTTAGAATATTATTTCCCATTTTTTGAGATTTTTATGGAATTTTCTGTATACTCTTCATTTTTACCCGTATTGGCCATAACTTTTTGAAATTATGATTTAGTCCTTACTTGGACTTAACCTCATAAGACATCTTTTTCAGGCTTTTAACTTAATTTTTAACTTGTATATAGTCTATTTTCTCTTTGTAGGCCCTTGAGACTCTCATGAAACCTCAACATTATATACACATTTGCCCCCAATAAATTTCTTACTTCGTACTTTAGTCCCTAAAAGTACTTTAACTTCTTTTCTCATTTTTAGAACTTCTACTTTGAGGGTTTAGTAGCCTATCTATTTTGGGCTATTCTCAAGACTCCTAGGCCTAGAAATTAGGATGTGACACAAGTGGTCTTGAAATTTCCAAGTTTTCCAATGAAAAAACAAGGGCAAAATTTTGCTTATAAATACTCGCATAACACATATTTTGGCCATATTGAGAAACCTAAAGGAGAATGTTTCACTCTTGAATTTAAGAGAGAAAAAGAGAAAAAAAATAAGAAGAGAAAGGGCAACAAAGGTTAGCCAAGTTTAAGCAAGCAATTAAGGTATGTTTAAGCTTCTATTAAGGGCTTAATTATATTAATTAGTAGTTAATTGAAATTTAATCTTGTTGGAATTTGGTGACTAAAATCCTAGGAAATTATATTAGCTTAATTGTCATATGGTTTGATAAGCATAATTAGAGAATAGCTTAAGGATTAGAGGATAGAAAATGATTGGAAATATGCATTTAGAAGCATTAAAATCGAAAACAGAATTTTGAGTTTCGAGGGGAAACCTCTTAGCCAAATCAAGAACTAGAGAAAGGAATTGGATTTTGATAAATCTAAGTTCAAATGTGAATTCTACATGAAAAATTATGTTAAAAAAGCATATAGCAGTTAGGTTAAGAAAGATGGAACAAAAACCCTAAAACCAAAAATAAGGGTTAGGATTTATATTAGGTAAAGGCCTTGATGTTATTTGAGTTGAGATTTAGAAGGCCTTTATTGTATGATTGATAGGCATTATTCTAAGGCCAAGGAAACTTCAAGATCAAGAGAAGGAAGGCATAAGATAAGACTTGGATTAAGGTAGCATAAACTTACAGTTTTAATGTTAACTTGTATTAGTTGTTTGCCATGTGTTTCTATGCCATGATTGGTTGAGCTAGCTATGTAATGAAATATTTAACTCCTTGCATTGTATGCCTTGACTTATGTATGTTTGAGTTATTGAATGAAATGATTACGAGCTCCCTTGTTATGGCATAATAATGGCATGAGAATGATGTTGCATGTAGTATGACATATTACACATGTTTAACATGATTATTGTTTGTTCTATGCTACTCAGATTTCTTTGAAATCTTATTCTTTTATAAAATGGGAAAAAATTTTATCCCACCAAGCTTATGATTATTATACTATATAATCTCACAATATGGTTTGAATTTTTCTTGGATCCTCTTAAGTCTAATACTTCCAAAAATTCATTTTTTGTGTGGTGTCAATAGTTCATTTTAATAAGGAGTGGCTCTCCTAGTTTTCTCATATTTAATTTTGACCTAGAACCCCTTCAATTGAATTTTTCTCGAAATCGGCCTTTTACCAATATAATTTGACTTTAAATATTTTAAAGCTAACCTCTGCATCTCCAAAGACTAAAAATAATTCTAAAATTCATAATAACCTCTCACATAATTTTTTCTAATTTTTTTCATGAATTATCAATGCTTGTACCTATTTTAAATAATTATTATGGCTAATTTTCTCCTAATTAGCCAAAATTTCCTGAAATTACAAAAAATTTCAAAATAAATTATTCATGCTATTTTTATCTTTCAGGCCTTAAATATTTTGCTAGGTTATTTATTTTATTTTTTTATGAATTTTTAAGAATTTTTAGGAATTTCAAGCATAATTTTTAGTTTTGCCATTTCTTAACTGAAACTTTTCAAAATGATGATCAAGTCCTTTCTCGGGTTTCATTTCAAAAGTTGTTTCCTCTACGTTTCTAGTACACTGCCTGTCTTTCAATCAATCCTAAATTTCTTATTTTTCATGTGAGAATTAATAGATATGACAAACTGCAATTGGAAAAAATCATTAAAAAAGTATTTAATATGAATAATTGCTTATTACATAATATTAGACAAACCTATGAAGGTGGAATTAGATAATACCGTCTCCCCTAATGGTATTTCCTAATTCACATATATAGATTTATCCAATCACAAGCAATATGATATTTTCCAATCCCACATATAACAAACAATATCTCATGCCCAATAATTTTTTAATAAATTTTTTTAATCCCAATATCAATCCCTACCTTTTATTTTTAACACTTCATAACAAACGAGACCAATAAACCCCAAATTGATGGGCTTCTTGTATTTATTTCCCATAATGTCCAATTATGCAATTATATTGCTTAACTGCCTTCTTTATGTGCTTGTAATTCTTTAAGTTAATCTTGAAAGATGGGGTCTTATAAATAAAAGATAATGTACATATATTTGAGATAATGAAGCGAATGAGAATTCCTCCTTATTTTATCTTCCAGTTTTCTCTATCCCTCTCGTCTCCGTCTCTTATATTTTTCTTATTCCCATACAGTTCTTTTTAATTTTTTTATGTTGAATTATTCTAAAAAAATCATGGACAAAATAGCAAAGCAAACGCAGTGAACGAACCCAAAAACACGCCAAGAATGACAGTCCAATCATGTTACAATGTTGACCATCTTCGGCAACAATAATAAAAATAAAATCCATTCAAAATGAAACAGCTTTTCGGTTGCGGGAATGTGTGAATAAATTCAAATCATGATTTAAAGAATAGTTTTTGATAAAAAAATAATTTTGAGAATAGATTTTAAAAGAATAGTTTTTAGGAAAAAATGATTTTGATAAAAAAAAAGTGTTTGAATAGTTATTATCATAAATACTTTTTTAAGTACAAATTATTAAAAAAAATACATAAGTTAATATGATAATTATATAAAATATATTTTTAATTTATATATTCATTTGAAGTAATAAATTTGTTAATAATTTTTTTGCCAACATAATAAATTATATATAAAAAGTATAATTAATTAATTGTTAATTAGTATGTATATATATACTTATAAAATATAAGATTAAATATGTTTTTAGAAAAATAAATATTTTTTTGGGAACAAAAAATATTATTTTAAGTGCTGATATAATGATTATTGTCAAGTATGAAACAACGTAAACTAATTTTGAAGGTTGGAAATATTCCTCCATACTTGCACTTATTTGTCTACGTGCTAGTGACCCAAACCATCTCAAGATCTAACCGTCTGATCACTTTGGAGTTTCCAGCCCTCTTACACTCATAATAATTATCTATGGACCAGTTTTTATTCTCAGAATCGAAATTTTTTCACTTTTTTCAAAACCGTGGCTTCGGATGCTCAAACCATAGTTTTGGTCCAAAGTTTTCCAAAAAATTTGAATGCTTGGATAGTTTTGGGCCCAAACTATAATTTGGGGTTTAAAAGTATTTTTTGATAGTTTGACAAACAGGTCTGCGTTGCCATCTTCAAAGAACTAATGCAAAACTTCAAAGTGACGTCTATATGGATCAACTGGATTCTTCGTTAAAATAATCATACTTATTCAAAAGTTAACGTCTTACGAGAGGCCAATACCTTTTCAAGAAAACGTAAGTGTTGAACGACAACCCACACCAAGAATCCCTTAAACGCACAGGTTGAGCTGAGATTCTATTTCATTGATTGATAAAAAATGAGAATGCACACTTGGGCCATAACCGACCCAATATTTACATACAACGCACAGCCTCTCACCCTAAGCTAAAGGACTTGCCGAAATAGGCCACTAATGGGCTTACAAGAAGGACAAGAAGATGATACAATAATCATGAAACAAATACAGATAAAAATACATCAGATATTTCCAACACTTCCCTTCAAGTTAGGGGCTTGAAAATATCTACAGCTCCTAACTTCCTCAACAGGTTCTTCTGCACATTACCTCCCACAGGTTTTGTTAGCAGATCTGCCTCCTAGCTGTGGCTTCTAACATGTTGTAGATCAATCAGTTTGGATTCCCGTTTCTTTCTAACAAAATGACAATCTATTTCTATATGTTTTGTACGCTCATGAAAAATAGGGCTTGTTGTCACAAATATACTTTCACTGGATTCTTGTGATCTATGCCCACATCTTTTAGCAAACTAACAGCCCAAACTACCTCTGATATGGCCATACTCAGGGCTTTATACTCTGCTTCTGCAGAAGACTTTGAGACAGTATGTTGCTTTTTAGTTTTCCACATCACAAGAGATCCTCCTAGTTTCAACAGGTATCCAGATACAGATCTCCTTGTCATTGGATAGGATGCCCAATCTGAATCGCAATAGCATCCTAGCTTCGGTTTCCCTTTTGAATTTTTGAAGACTCCCAACCCAGGTATGGCTTTCAAATATCGCAGAACATTCCTTGCTGTTGCCATATGTGCCTTGGTTGGCATTTGCATAAATTGGCTCAAGGTCTGAACAGAATAAGAAATATCAGGCTGGGTGATTGTCAAATAGATTAACTTACCAACTAATCTTCTATATTTTCTAGCTTCTTTCAATAAATCCTTTGCCCGGTTCTTCTTCTCATTATAAGCCAAAAGCTTTAAGTTCTGAGCCATTGGAACTCCCAGTGGTTTGCAACCTGTCATGCCAGTCTCAAACAACAGACCCAAAATGTAACAACCCCCGTAATTCATGGTAAATAATCATTTTCAAAACGATAATTGCTTTAAAAGGCTAACCATGGTAGGAAGGACAAACCTAATCAAATAGAAATCTACCATAGTCAATAACAATTCAAATCTTTAACGAGGTAGTAGCTACTGTTCTAGAATAGTAAAGATAGTTAATCAAATCAAAAAGGATCAACATTTGATTTTCCATGTATATATCAAATCCATCAGCAATACTCTGAAATCTCAACTACAATTAAGACCCATTGTAAATGGGCTAGGACATTGAAGTCCACCAAAATAACTACCACTACTGCCCATTATCAATTGCAATCAAAATAACGATCACATATGACCAAAAAGGGCTCCGCCCAATAGTACAAGTCTAGAATGCAGCGGAAAGGCTATGATAATGTTAACTAAAACAAAAAGGCCCTAAAGTTTGGCAATATACATCAGTCAAAAACATGTATATCAAAATAGAGGCTATACAGAGTGGAAAGAAAACTCAAGCCTCGGACACCTTCCCCTTGGGACCAACACCTGAACCCTCGCCTGAAAAATGTTAAATAACCACGGGGTGAGTCAAATTGACCCAGTAACCACAATTCCAATTCAACAGGTATCCAGGGAGTGATTACAAGATAGCTAAGCGGGCAAAGTACAACTTCAAATAACATATAAGTTAAACATCTTTACAGAAAACAATATATAATAATTCAAAAAGTAACTTGCATGCATAGAACTTCATCAACCATCCTTATAACCTCCTTGTAACCTCTGACAGAACCCATGGGCTATTCACACATAACAGGATTCATCTCTTTTACAAGACTGCACCAAGCTCTCCAATAATGAGGTGTAACTCGGCCAAAAGTTACAGAGCTCATATCGGACCATGGGTTCCCTTTCCTTGGAATATGGAAAGGTGTCATGTCCCTTGGACTGACCCTTGACCCGGCCAAAGGAAGGGTGATACCGAGGGCCCTAAGAATGTTAATGCCAACCACTGGGCGCCAAGTGGCGGCTATACCACGTGGTATAAATAATCAAACCTCCCACAACTACATTTCAGCACAACCAACACAGCCCAATCCAACCATCCAATTCCACACAATTTCATATCCATAAAGTATTCTCATATTCAATAATCAAATTTATTCAACATTAACAAGATATTCATAAGATGAAATAATTCATGCCCACTTAACTAATAAATTTATCAAAACTTAAATCTTGATATAGATATATAAATTACTTTTCATACAGAAACCACCATAACACATATTGAGAACATTTATAATATCAACACATGCTTATAATCACATCAACAAGCATACAAGGTAAATTAGAAAGTGGTTACTCAAGTTCTTGACACAAGAACTAAAAGTAGGAGGATTCAAACCCAAGAGCCCAAACCAAGCTTACTCTACAATAATAAATTGATAAACATATATTAATATAAAAAGACTAATTAATATAGCATTAAAATAGTTTATTAACTAAATCCCCATAATTGGTTTGCTTAAAAAATTATCTTTAGAAAAATAATAATTCATCTATTCCTCCAAGTGACAATTCCTAATACTTCCCAACTCTATTTCTCTCATTCACATCATTAATAAGAATATTTCCTTCAAGTCATCTAAAAATCTCCAAAAAGTGCTTACTTTAACTCTTAGAAAAATAAGCATATATCAACTATGCCTTCAATCATTATTAAAATCCTATTCCCTTCTTCCATTAATCATTTCCCACTCATTAGAATCAATAACTTAGAATATTTTCCTCAATTTCCTCCAAACACCCAACTTCCACTAATTAAAGTCTCTCCAAGAATCATCAACATTACTATTTTAACAACAATCCTCAAAGTTTAAGCATTGGATCCTCAATATAACCTCAAGTGAACTCAACTAAGAGATAAATTTCGAAATTAATATCATCATTAATACAAATCACAATTTCCCAACCAATCCCTAACTCACATTGCCTCAAATCAACCATCAACTAAAAATCTAAGTCATAAGGCTTCTATTCTAACCCCATAAGCTCCATTAATATCATCAAAATGAGTTAGAAGCCTCAAAGATTAAAAATCTAACAAGCCCTAAAATATTCATTCTTCTGCCATTAGCTAAGGAAAATAAAAGAATAAGGTAAATAAAAAAAAAGAGAGGATGGGAATAACTTACCAGAAAAATCCCAAAGGAATCCCCAAGCAAACCCCCTTCTATTCCTCACACTCACTCACTCACGCTTACTGTTCGGTGATGGCGGAGCGGCACGGACCAGGGGAAGTGGACGACGCGGAAAAAGGGGAGAAGGAGTGTTTGAAAGTGGGGGTTACACGTGACCCCCACTTGAAATGCCTTGCTATACTATTTTTTTTTATATATATATATATTAGCCACGGCCCAAACAGGGGGAGTTAACCCCCCGCTCCCACCAACAGGCGGTGGGTGGCCCACGTGCCACCCACTTGCCTATTTTATTTTATTATTTTTTTAATATTTTTTTTCTTTTTAAAGTATATTTATATATAATATTTTTTTTATTATCCTTTCATAATTTATATGTATATCACAAATATTATGATTTACAATCTACACAGTACTACTAAATTTTTATTATTAATTTATCTCATACCCATATAATTTAAATCCTATAAAAAAAAAATGGATCGTTACACAAAACATATTTTCTTTGTGACAGAACAATTCCTTTCTTAGTCTTAGCCACCTCTATTCTAAGGAAATACTTCATTAATCCTATGTCTTTTATTTTAAAATGCCTATGCAGAAATTCCTTAGTCTCAGTAATTCCAGATTCAGTGCTGCCGGTTATTAGCAAATCATCCACATATACCAAAATAAGGACAACCCCATGATCATAATGTTTAATAAAAAGAGAATAGTCTGCCTTACTTTGTGTAAAACCTCCTTTCTGCAGTGCTTCAGACAATTTTTGATTCCATTGTCTTGAAGCTTGCTTCAAACCATAAAGAGATTTATTTAATTTGCAAACCATTTGCTCCCCCTTTCTCTCAAAACCTTGAGGTATTTTCATATAAACTTCCTCATCTAAATCACCTTGTAAAAATGCATTATGAACATCCATTTGATAAAGGTTCCATTTATTAACAGTAGCTAATTTCAAAACAACTCTAAATGTAAACATTTTCACAATAGGAGAAAAAGTCTCATGATAGTCAATGCACTCCTTTTGATTATAGCCCTTGGCTACTAATCTAGCTTTAAACTTATCTATACTACCATCTATATTGTATTTGATTTTGTAAACCCATTTGCAGCCAATAGCTCTCTTGCCTTTAGGCAAAGGCATTATGGTCGAGGTTTTATTACTCTCTAGGGCTTTCATTTTGGCCTCCATAGCTTTTACCCAGTTCTTATTTTGAGCAGCCTCTTCATAACAAGATGGCTCACAATTAGAATCAATAGAAGTAAGAAAACACATATGATCAGCTGACATGTGTGCATATGAGAGATAATCATCAATAGGATATTTACAGCTAGTTTTCACAGAACAATTAGAATCAAATTGCAACAGGGAGCAGACATAATCATTTGCCCAAATAGGAGGTCTTCTAGCACGAACAGGTCTTTGACCTTCAGAATTTGTTTAGTTTTCCCTGTTATTAATGTCAAACTCGTTATTTCTTTCATTATTTGTCCTGTCAATTACAGAATCACCATTATTATTCGTGGATTCAAGTTATGCAATCATTTCAGATCTTTGTTTTCCAAATATTTCTGATTCAAACCAGAACATTGACCTCATATAATTACCTAATCCCTCTTGAAAACTGTTTCTAACATCCTTGAAAGGGAATTTATCTTCAATAAAGTGTACATGTCTGCTCACAAAAATGGTAATTTCTTTTAAATTTAGGAGCAAATATCCCTTCTGATTATCTGGGTATCCTAGGAAGACATTAGGGATTGATTTAGGCTGTAATTTATCATTGACCTTCAAGTCAGTGGCATAAGCAAGAGACCCAAAAATTTTTAAATCACTTAAGTCAGGTTTGACTCCATAAATTCTTTCATAAGGTGTCTAGTAGTCTAAAACCTTTGGGGGAATCCTATTCACCAAGAAAGCTGCCATTTTAACACACTCTCCCCAATATCTAATAGGTATTCCTAATTGTAAAATAAGGCTTTTGGTAATCTGCATAATGGTTTTTATGTTTTCTTTCTACTACCCTATTTTGTTCTGGTGTGTAAGGACAAGAGGTTTAATGGATTATGCCCCTCTGTTGAAAATAAGTTCTGAAATGATTATTAATAAATTCAGTTCCATTATCACTTCTAATCTTTTTCACATTCACAGAAAACTGTGTCGAAACATAGGCAACAAAATTTTTGATATGAATTTCAGTCTCATTTTTATGTCTCATTAGAAATATCCAAGTTCCTCTAGAAAAGTCATCTACTAAAGTTAAGAAAAATTGAAAGCCTTGATGTGTGGGGTTCCTATAGGGTCCTTAAACATCTGCATGAATCAAATCGAAACTTTTCTGAGACTTAATGACACTAGAATTAAAAGGGAACTTAGTTGCTTAGACTGAATATAGATATCATAGGAACTTGAAAGTTTTATCAAAACAGAGTTTTCAGTACATATTTGATCAAGATGTTTTATCATAGATATGGGGGCGTGTCCTAATCTTCTATCCCATAGTTGGATATCACAATCATTTCTCAAAATTCTCTCATTCTGAACAACAGTTGCCAAAACAGGGGTGTTTGTCACTTTTAGCACATAAAGTCCCTTATATTCTTTACCAATCATCTTCATCCTCCCATCCTAAAGGCCCTGTAGTACACAAAGATTAGGAAAGAAGGTAGCCACGCAATTGTGTTCCTTTGTAAATCTAGATATAGATATCAAATTAAACTCTAGACAAGGTGCATACAGGACATTATGAACAACAACATTGTCAGTAATAGTAATAGAACCAATATGTGTGAAGATAATCTATCTCTATTTGGTATCTTAATTGCCTTAACTGGTCCATTATACTGTTTATAATCATCAAACAACTCTAATTTACCAGCCATATGAGTAGTCGTACCAGGGTCTAAAATCCAGTGTGTAAAAGTTTGAACGTTAGGTATAGGATTGATCAAACCTGTATCGGTTAAAGCGTGTACCGTAGGCTCCATGTCTTTCTTCAATAATTCCAGGATCTTCTCATATTGCTCCTTTGTGAATGTTAGAGCTACCGTTGTCACAGCGTGGCCTTGAGGGTCGAGTTCTTTGACAGATTCAGCTCCCCCTTGCTAAAAGTCCCTCAGCTATCTCCCCTTATTCCCTTTAAAATTTAACAAACACCTAACAATCTGGAAACAATGCTCTTGAAGATGCCCTTTCTTGTGGCAATGTGAGCACTCGGGTGTAGTATCTCCTCTGCCTCTTCCTCATCCGCGTCCCCTTCCTTGTGTAGTCATTGCCAATCCTTCGGTGGGGAAATTCTTATTGGCGTATGAGATGGATCACTGGGTCTCATCTTGCACTATCATCGCGTATGCCTCATTGACAAACAGGAGAGGCGACATCAATAGGATATGGCTCCTTACTTGTGTGAAGTTTTTGTTCAGGCCCATCAAAAACTGTTAAGAGATTCTATTCTTGAATGGCATATGAATATGCCTTGGCCATCGCACACGTACAGAAAGGGATTGCCACGAGCACTGCCTGCTCTTCCTAAAGCTCTTTCAGCTTTGAAAAATAGATTGTAATCGGGCTCGTCCCTTGCCGAAGGGCACTGATCTCCCTATGAAGTGTGAAGATGCGTGATCTACTCTTCTTGTCGAAGCGTTCTTTCAGCTCAATCCAGATGGCATGCGCATCTTGCAAATATATGATTCCATTTGCTAATTCCTTGGAAATGGAATTTATCAACCATGAGAGAACGACCGCATTGCACCTTTCTTACTGCGGTCGGAGGCACTCTTCTTGATCGGCTTTCTTGCAAGTGCTGTTAAAGAAGCCCAACTTGTGTTTGCCTAGTAGTGTAATAGTCAATGCTTGAGACCACACAGTGTAGTTCTAAGTCCTGGTGAGGACGTGGGGGATGATCGTCGTCCCTGCGTGTCAAAGGGGTGCAAGAATAAGGGATTCAAAAAAGAGATACCTTCGATTGCAGCTTTCTTGTCTCCCATCAGATCTGCTATGTAGGGTTCCAGTGTGATGTGGTTGGGCTTGCTTCAGTAGGCTGTCTTGTTAGCCCTAAACGATGGTGCCCTATGGCTCTGATGCCATGTTGAATGACAACCCATACCAAGAATCCCTTAAACGCACTGCTTGAGGTGAGATTCTATTTCATTAATTGATAAAAAATGAGAATGCATACTTGGGCCAGAACCGACACAGTATTTATATAAAACGCACAGCCTCTCACCCTAAGCTAAAGGACTTGCCGAAATGGGCCACTAATGGGCTTACAAGAAGGACAAGAAGATGATACAATAATCACGAAACAAATACAGATAAAAATACATCAGATATTTCCAACATTAAGTGTATCTTGTTTAATATTTTAATTTTAAAAAATTAAAAATATTTGTAAATGAACATATTAATCTTTAGAGAAAGTCAGAACTAATTTTAATTTGAGAATTTTTGTTTTTATTTATTATTCCATTGAATCTTTTTTTTTAATAAAATCCAAATTTTAGAATTCCAATTCTTTTATAACATGCAGTTGAAGTTGTTTGAATAATAAATATATTTTTGGGTCAAGGTGCAAAAATACCTATAACCTTATACCATATGTGCACTCAACACCATAACCTTTTTCTAGGTGCAAAAGTGACTATAAAAGTTCAATAACGTAGCAAAAGTGACAATCCCATTAAGTGTTAGTAATGCTGACCGTTAAGGAGAGTTAGTTTGACTGAAACGGCTGAGTTGGAACGACACGTGTGTAGGTGGCAGGGTGAACTGCTGACTGTGAATGCACCTGATGGTGAGCCAAAAACATGGCAGATAAGAAATGAAAATTAAAAGGCATGGTGTGGGGCGAGAAAGCAAAAGGCACCGTCTAAGGAATCACGAGGAAGACGAACGACCTTTGCGACCATAGAGAAAAGTGATTGAGTGGAAGAATCTACAGTTACGGGGATGCAGGACCACATAGAGAAAGAGGAATCGCATGTGATTGAGGATTCTAGGGCAACATGGTGGCAATGAAGCGACAAAAAAGAACACCCAAGTAAGCATCGTTCGGGACCCATGAATCAATTATTTTTGTTTTGAGTACAATGAAATCCCACAAAAGTCCTTGTTTGAATGTGTATTGTGTTTGGTGGCAAGAAAAATGGCATCAAGTGGCGAGGACAACATCATAATCGAAGAGGAAAGCATTGAAGAGGAGACACTGGAACAGAAGCATAGGAGATTATTGAATAAGGTAAACGAAATATGATGTCTTGCTAAGAGAAGTTGGGAACATACTAAGATAAAATTGCGAGAAGGCCATAGCTCTATCTTAGAAAGTATTGATGCCGCTGTAAAAAAGGAAAGACGGAGATGGAGGGAGAAAAATGAGAAAGGCAGAGAGGGAAATGATAGAGTTGATGGTGAAAATGAAAGAGGTAAAGAAGATAATAATGGTGAAACACGAAATGAAACATGTGATGAGGAAGACATTATTGAGGATATAGTAGGTTTGAATGATTTTGATGAGAATGAATTAGAACTTCACGACTTAGATCTTGAGTTAAATAGCAACATAGATGATGGTAGGTTAGAAGAAAATAATGATAATGACATAATTGTTGTGGAGAATAAGGTGGCTGCTAATGAAAATGGTAGGGACAAAGGGAAAGGGAAAGTGGCAATGGATTTTGGTGAGGAAGATGATAGGGACAAAGAGAGATCAAAGGAAGATGATAGTGATGATTGGGAAAAAGACAGCTCAGAGGAAGATGATGGTGATGACAGAGACAAAGAGATGTCAGAGGAAGATAATAGTGATGAGAGGGATAAAGAGATGTCAGAGGAAGATGATAGTGATGATGCAAGCTATGAGGCGTTAAGTGCAAGTGAAGATATAGAGAAGACTGTGTTTGAAGACTTCGAAGTGGATGAGGTTTGTATGGAGAATGGGAGTGACCGTGATGAGGATGAATTGGGCTTAGAAAGTGATAATGGGCCTCCTCTACAGTTCACAACCCTTGATAAGCTGAGGGCTCAGCTAGTAGGCCCTTCTTTATGTTGGGCATGACCTTTGTGGACAAAATGGAGCTAAAGAGGACTTTAGATAGGTATGCTATAAGAAAGGGCGTGAATCTGAAGATAAAGAGAAGTGACAAGAGGTTAATGAAAGTTGTATGTCAAGATGGATGCCCTTTCCTCCTTTATGCTTCTCGAGATAGGATGAATGTAGGGTTCCAAGTGAAGACACTATGCTATGAGCATAGGTGTGCACGTGTGTATAAGAACCCTAGGGCTTCTGTGAGATGGTTAGCTAATCACTTCAAAGAGAAGGTGCAAGAGATGCCTCAATTTAAAGTGAGCAAGATGAAGAAGGAAGTAGAGTTGGACTTGAAGGTGAACGTGAGCTTGCATAAGTGTAAGAGGGCAAAGAGAATGATAATGCAAGAGATGGAAGGTAGCTTTACAGATGAGTTTGGGAGATTAGAGGCTTATTGTAATGAAGTGAGGTCATCAAACCCAGGGTCGGATGTGAGCGTTGAGCTAAGCCGAGAGGCATTAGAGCAAGGGAGAAGAGTCTTCAAAAGAATGTACTTATGTTTCAATGCGAGCAAGGTAATTTTGTAATTTTTTGTCTTTATACTAGTAATCGTCCTTTATTATTGCTTGTCTTCTTTGATTGATGAGGTTTGATGTAGGTTGGATGGAGGACAGGGTGTCGACCTTTGATTGGGGTGGACGACACATTCTTGAAAGGGAAAGCAAAGGGAATACTTTTGATTGCCGTGAGTTTAGATGTAAATGATTCATTATACCTGTTAGCATTTGGGTTGGTCTCAAGAAAATGGGCTTTATTGGACTTGGTTCCTTCAATGGCTACAAAGGTCATTTGATCTAGGTGATGGTGAGACTGTAACATTTATGAGTGATATGTAGAAGGTAAAACAAAAATATTTCATTTGCTCTTTCTTGAATTTAAGTGGTGTAGATGTTTAGACTTTATTGTAAAATTAATTTATTTCTGTCTTTGTAAGGGATTGGGAAACGCAATGAGTGAGGTGTTGCCTCATGCAGAACACAGACTGTGTGCAAGACACATTTATGCAAATTGGAGTAAATGCTGGAGAGGCAATGAGCTTAAGAAGAAGTTCTTCACCTGTGCGTGGAGTTCATTCGAAGAAGAGTTCAAAGACAATCTAAGGTCTCTTGAAGCATTGAGCAAACCAGCAGCTCAAGCCATGGTGACTTATGATCCTCATGCATGGGTAAGGGCTTATTTCACACCTAGGTGTAAGTCTTGGAGTGTAGACAACAACATGAGTGAGTCATTAAATGCATGGATAGATGAGTATAGGTTCTTGCTAGTTATTCAAATGTTTGATGGTATTAGAGTTAAGATGATGGCTAAATGGGCAGCTAGTGAAAATAATGTTAGGAATTAGACTGCTGATCATAGTCCCAAATGTATGGAGCTGTTTGAGTCAAATAAGATGCTTGCTATGTATTGTAGAGTGAACTTTAATGGTGATGAAGCTTTTGAGGTGATGGGGAGGCAAGATAGGCATACTGTATACCTATCTAGGCAGATGTGTACTTGCAGAGCATGGGATTTAACAGGAAGCCCATGCCAACATGCTATCTGTGCAATGTATCATGCCAAAATTAACCCCAGAACCCAAATTTCCCATTATTATCACAAGGATACCTACCTAGCTTCGTACCGAGCAAAGCTTCAACCTGTAAGGGGTAAACAATTTTGGGACACTACAACTTTCCTCCCTATGCAACCTCCACCGGTCACTAACTTGCCTGGCAGACCAAGAAAGAAGAGAATTAGAATAGAGGAAGCAGAAAGAAGGAAGAAGAAGTCTGGTTATGGTGCAGACCCAATCCTAATGCCCGTGACTCCTCCAACTAACCAGAGTCAACCACCTCATGCAGAAAAATTAAGTAAAACTGGCAAGCATCACAAATGTGGGATTTGCAATCAAGAAGGGCATAACAGAAGTACATGTAAACAGGTAAACCACTTCACATAAATTCCTAGTCTTTTATATTTGTGGAAGTACTCATTTTGCTTCCATGTCCATGGTTTTTAGGCTCTTTCTTCTTCAAGACAGACTCGGGTTCTGAGAAGGAAAAAACATCTGCCATCACATTCCTCTCATGACCAACCAGACCCACTATCCCAAGCTTCCTAAGAGCCACCATAACCAACTCAGCCAACTCAACCATCCCAAGAGCCACCACAACCAACTCAGCCAACTCAACCATCCCAAGATCCAGCTCAATCATCACTGCATAGATCTCACAGGAAGAAATGTGTGTACAAGTCAAGAGGATCATCAGGGATAGGTATAAGATATGATGAATCCATAGGGCGTATGGTTTATAATGTGAGCAATGTTTAAGTCATTTATTCTACTTTTATATTTATGCTTACTGTCTCACTTCTCCATATCTCATTATGCGGCCTGGATTAAGATCTCAAGTTGTCATTCAAGAAGGGACAGCTGAACATTATATGACCCATTATGCAGATCCACAGACCAAATTTCCCATACCCAAAGAAAAAGAACTTCGAAGGTCCGGGGTTGTCACTTCCAATGCACTTGATGGTTCAAGGTTGACTAAATTCCATCCCCAAGGTCCCACTGTATCACAGCTTCCAGTTCAACCTCCTCCTTTGCAGTGGAGGGGTCAACCTTGTGTCACAACCTCCCAACTCTTGGCACAGCAAAGCACCATGATACGAAGGACCAAGCACAGCTCCAACAAGTCCACTATTTAGTCTCATTAGTATTTTATTTTTAGTATTATCTGTTGGATGTATTTTGGATGACTTTGGGTGATTTTTTTGTTATTGCCGTTAATGTTGGGACCATTTGATTCATATATTTTGGGTGGCTTGTTTTAGGATGCTTAGTTGGGCATATGTGGACCCTTTGACTTATGTACAGTGCACAATATTTTGGAATTAAGCAAAGTGCACAACATTTATCTGCGCCCCATTTATAATTACTCTATCATTACTTTATAATTAGACATTACAATTCAAATAGTACAACATATCATAACCACATTGAACCCTTTCAATCAGCCATTATTGCTCATATACAAAATAAAGAAGCACACCCACGTTATAGTCAGTGTTCCCATTGCAATTTTAAACTTCAATTCCGCTTTCTTTACTTCACTTCTCTGCGCCCCATCTCTGCCCTTCAACTTTTGCAACTCACCATGTATAGCCACCATCTCCTCATATAACTTCTCACTATCATTCCCTCTTTGAAGTTTGGTGTTTTGCTCGTACAACTTGTCTATGTCATCTAGCAATTCTTTGATCACTGCATTTGCTCTATCACCAAACTCACCATCGTGCCATGCAAAAAAACCATAGCTTCCATCCTGTAGAAATTCACCAACACTGGTTAAATGCTTCCCACAATATCATCTATCATTTCAATCCCACCATACTTACTTGGTAATAGTTCCGGCAGCTGTAGAACCTCCATCCTGGGTTTCCTTCTGTCCACGCTGTCCAACGGGGAGCTACCAACCTGTGATGGCAGTACCTCGTCGGCCCTTCGTACGCCTCCTCGCGACTCGGTTGCCTTATCAATGCAACCCTCCTCCTCTTCCGTGGACTCGCCGAACTCGCAGAAGATGCCATCGACCTTCGTCTTAATTTCTCCCCTTTGCGATGCTCTTCACTTTTCTCTTTGCTCGCTACTTGACACACGCACAGTGTAGGAGGTAGGTGTGCAGTTTAATTGATATATTCAGATCCCCTCACCTACGTCCGTAATAATCAACAAGCAATTAATCACACCTATCCCCCAGCTGGCGATTACTTCACGGCTGTTACTAACACTTAACGGGATTGTCACTTTTGCTACGTTATTGAACTTTTATAGTCACTTTTGCACCTCGAAAAAGGTTATGGTACTGGGTGCACATATGGTATAAGGTTATAGGTATTTTTGCACCTTGACCCTATATTTTTACTAATTTTACGTCTAATTAATTGCATTATTTTCTTGTCATATATTTTTTCCATCTTTTTTATTACTATTCCTCTCTCACACTTTCATCCTCTTATAACTAAAGTCATATTCTAAAAAAAAAATACATTTCTTAACTATTAATATGTATTACTTTTAATTAATCTTAACAAATTTCTCAAACCAGACAATTGAATTACCTGAATCTTATAAAAAGAAAAGGAAGGAATATTAATCTGTATTTTAGGTGATGCCCTTGTTCTTGGTTCACATTGGCAAAGTAAGAATACGAATGAAAACTGGGAAAGGGCTAAAATTGTGTTGCCCGTGTGATTTAAGAAGGGATAAGTGTTCCTTTTGCAACTACAAGTTGAGTTTCACATCCTTATTGAACTCAAATTATGCAAGACATACTAAGAATTTAACAAGGTGTGACGTAACATCCGTACTTTTTAACGCTGTTAGTAGGCATTCAAAAGCGCTTTAGTGAATCATAAATTAAGCCTATGAATTAAAATTTTGCATTTTAATTCTCAGGTTACTACTCATTTGGTAATTTCGGATTTTTTTGAGGTCCAATTTCAAAAATTCATAACTAATTATGAAAAAAAATGTATTGAGATAATTCAAGTATTCATTTAAAACTCTTTTAATTTAATTCTCGATGGAAAAAAAATTCATCGGATCATTTATTTGCATATTTAATACATAAAGATTCATGAAGTGATACTATTATATGGTTAAATAGTACTTTATAGTTTTTTTGTCCTAAATTTGAGCAATCATAACCCTTGGCATATAAATATATTTTAAATGATGTTCCACTTGTTTTAAAACTCAGAATGTGTTTTTGTCACTCATAGAATATTGTGGGCAGATTTGTTCATTTGCTTTGCTTTTATCCTATCTTAAATTTGTTACTTTATGTTAGAATGTTTATCCTATTACTTTGAATTAACATGTTATAAACATCTCTTTGTGTACATGTAACCATTTGAACATTTCATAAATTATTCTCATACTTTATCATACTCATCTTCACATGCCAGTATCATCATACATACATCAATATCCAGGGAGAATTATTACATAACATAACATAATACATAAATGTTTAATTCTCCACTTCAATCTCTTTTCACTATCTTACACATCTTTTTTCCATGCTTGCCATACCTATTATAGGTGGATAAGAGAGGGTAAGATTCGGGAGAATCTTAGTAGCAAACATGCCACTCAAATATATAAGGCATAGCTTGACATTACATAACATGCTTGCAAATTTACCATTTTCATAACATAATGATATGTTTGAAAACCATCATGCATCAATTATTAAATACATAGACCTATAACATATCTCAAACATAATCACATACAACAATGCATGATTTCATATGATCACATAAGCATAACAAGCATGCCAACTCATGCAAACAAACACCAAGCATATAAAAGTAAAGTAAAATTTGCTAAGTTAAAGCTTTACATTATTCTTACTTCCTTTGCTTCCAACCATTGAATTTGCCTGATCAGTCTTCCTATTTATCTTCGTTGATGTCACATGGCTCTAATTACATCAACAAATTATGCCACTCATTTATTAGAGACATGGAACCAAGTGACATACATGACTTGCTCTCTTACATAACCCTTAACTCTAACTTTTGGATTTTAAATTTAATCTTTGTAAAATTAATTTCACATGTTATTTCCGCATAATTTCTCATGTACAATCCATTTCTAAGCTCAAAATTAACAAAACTCAATTCCTTTCCCTTTATCTAGCTTAAGTTGAACACTTAAGAGTTTTAGGACAAAAATCTTACTTTTAATTCTAATGCTTCCAAGATTACTTTCTTATCTTTACCCTACACAATTTTTCATTCTAAACACATTAGAAGCATCCAAATTAACAAAATTAATCTCTATCTCAAACCCTAAGTATGGCTGAAATTCATGAAACATAAGGGGACATATTTTTCTATCTCTTAATCTTTAATCCAACTTCAATTAATCCTTCCCATGGCTCAATCAAAATTGGACACTATCTCTTTCTTAGATTTCATGCTTCCAAAACTCATTGACGCCATAATCAAACTTGCCAATATAAAATACAACATTAACAACAATTAAACTCACAACTTCAAGTTGGTGTATGATTTCCTAGTGGTTCCTTCCCTTCCTTTCCTTCTTCTTCTCCTCCTTTTTCCCTTCTCCATTTCATTTCCCCCCTCTTCCTATAATGCTCCTGAAAATTAACTACATTGAAATGTTGTTTCACGTCCATTCTTTTTAATTACCATTTTATTCCTTGATCTTCGCTCCTTAAAGTTGCATAAAATTACATAGATGATGATTCATCTTCATAATCCTCCTTGTATCTTTAACTCTATTGAAATGTGACTTGAAATCCATAACTAAATTGGAAGGCAATTTGAAATCCATAGTATTATTTTATTCTATTTTCCGTCACATGCCCTTCTTGAAATAAAAAATTCCAACACTACCCTTGCATATGTGGCACCAAAATGGATGGAACAAGGGAAGGAAAAAGACCATTCTTGAACTCTAAGTCATAAAATTGTACTGCATTGGATAAATTTTCTAGCCCTATCTTTTCTAGCGACATAGATATTCGTCGCGACAATCTCATCTTCTAGTCCACAATTTTTTATCATCATTGATAACCATAAAGGGCTCAGTGATGATGAGAATCTAGAGGAAATGACATTTAAAGATCTGTCCTTCCTTTAAGAAATATCAAATTACTTTATATTAACATAATTTTGACTAAATTCTTTTTTGATGCTTCCTATGTCCAAAAATTAAACCTTTAGTTCCATTAATTCCCTTTTATTATTAAAAAAAATCTTTACTTTTTTGCATGCCAAAGCTTGACTGGGAAGTATTTCTTCTAGAATTTCTCAAAAATTACCTCTTTTTGGCAAAATTAGGCTTTAAATATTTTTAAAGCCAACCTCTTCCCAATTTGGGGAAGGACTTATTTCTATAAACCCCAATAATTCCTCAAA